AATTATAGGTTTTATTAATATTAAAAACACAATTATTGTAAATGTTTGTAGGCTGGCTTGAATTGGTGGTTTGAATCTGGGTATTTTCTGTTTTATTTTGCATTGTGCTCTGATCATGATTGAACTGGCTAGTACTTGATGAAATGCTCCTCATGGATTCAATCATCTGTTGATGATGTTCAGCGTCCAACTGTAAGTAAGGTTTGATCGACTGACTATTACTATGTCCAGTAATTTTAATGAGCTGTTGTTCACCAACTCCTTTCTTGGCCAAATTCGAAACAGCTGTTGCTCTTGCAGAATGATTGGTTATTTTAACTTTTTTAGTGTCAATTCCTATATCTGAAGCTGCTGATTTAAACCATGAAGATACAATGTTCTTACCAACTGGGCTATTCTTGTACCATCCTTTCGAATTGGGTTGATTCCAGTATGGGTTTGGTGTTAAGAATAGTCTGTCGGTTTGAATAAGATTTCCCCTTTTTTCCATCAACTTTCTAAACAAGCGAACCGGACACATTTGTGGATTTTCGAAATTTCTAATCAACCATTTACTATCCGACAGTTTTTTAGAACCACCTTGTGTGGTTTTAGAGAAAATTGGATTATATTCTATCCGACCTTTTGGGTTTCCGAAATTATCAGTTTCTTCTTTGAAGTATTGGATACAAGCAGAATGTCCTTCCCCTCCTCTCCATGCCAGCTCATGTGAAACTATGTGAAAAAATTTACGCTGCAACCCATCTGGAGTATTTTCATCCCACATTTCAATAATTTTTTTGTATTCGTCACTGGTTAAGGCTGAAGCACTCACTTTTCTTTTTGCTGAATCTCTCTGTAGTATTTTGCGCTTAGCATCGCGTGCAGCTCTGGCGGTCACAAATTCCACATCAGAAAACGGATTAAATTTTATTTTATATTTTTCGTAATAAATTTCTTGCAACTGCTTAGCAGTAGAGTTCCACATCACTTTGACCACACTTTCCTTATAATCTTCAAAATTTTTCTTTTTCATATTAAATGCGTAGTCCTCCAGTATAGTAGCCAGCTGTACTACACTCATACACTCATGAATATTATACGACTTTTCATCACAAAATTCAACAAACTGTTTCCATACACTTGATTTTGATTTTCGGGTGTTATCTGGTTTTATATTTTCAATTTCTTCTTTAATGACTTGTTGGTTTACTTTTCCAAATCGCGACATTTCGCTATACACTTCTTACTCTACGTAAGACGTTTTAAAACTAGTAATATATCGACAGAATCGCAAACAAAATGAGATGTAAAAACATGCCAATATGTCAAAACATCAATACTTTGGCCAACTTAACAAATTGAAATTATTTTAAATGTCATGTTGGATTAATATTTTTTTCAATTTAGGTGTGAAATTTTCTTACCGAATACCACGCAAGCTTAAATTATTCCTGAAATTTTCTTTTTCGGGCAGGAATATTTTAGAAAATTATCCCTCGTTTTCGACTCGGGATAATTTTCAAAATATTCGTGCCCTCAAAAAAATTTCCGAAAATAATTTAAGCTCTTGTGATATTATAAGTGAAAATTTTTTCCTTGTGGGCACCCAACAGCGAATTATACTGGAAATTTTTCTGGTTTTTATTTGTTTACATGATAATTTTGATACATTTCAATTACAAAGCTGAGATGTTTTCTATATTCTTTGGACACCTCCTTTCTTCTTAATGGCGAAAATGTAGGACTTGGAATGGACTGAATTAAATGTCTATGTCTAATGAAATATATATAATATTTAGACACTATTTTGTTCACCTTTTTTTCCATTTAGCACTTTGAATTTTGAGTTTTATTATTATGCTTGGCTGTGGAGTTTCATAAAACTTTGATAACACTCTCCTTGTAGTCTTCAGAGTTCTTTTTTCGCATGTCCCATAGTCTTCAAGAATAAGCGCCAGTTCTTCCACAAGTATATCCGCTCTGTCGAAATCATACGATTTTTCTGTGCAGAAGTTTGTAAACTGCTTCCATACGCTTGACTTCGATTTCCTAGTATTCGCGGGTGTCAACTGATTAATCTCCTGGCGAATATATTTTCTTTGCTATCGTGACCGAAGCGAAACTTTTTTTTAAGTCGTGCCGCTTGACAGCTTCAAAACTGAAATAGTTTTTAGGTGTGAGTTGGTGTGAGTGTCACTTAGTTGCCATATTAACTAAATAATGAAGTCGACCAAAAATCGAAAAATACATTTTAATTATTTGATTTTCAAACACAATTTGGTGTGGAATTTTCTTACCGAATACCACACGAGGTCAAATTAAATCCGGAAATTTTTTGACCTCTAGTGGTATTCTCGTCTTCGACTCGGGATAATTTTCAAAATATTCATGAGCTCGAAAAAATTTCCGGAAATAATTTGCCCTCTAGTGGTATTAGACTAGTGAAAATTCAATTACACTTAAAACCGAAATGGCAAAAAGAATCATGGGACAGAAAGATACGCCAAATAAGAAATTAAAAGCAATTCACGTAGAAGCAGAAGCTACCAGCATTGCCAGTACAAGAAATTTGCATATTCCCACTCCAACAACTTGCATTTTTCTTAGAGACAAAAAGTTGGATCCCTCTTATATTCACTTTAATAATTTAAATAATTGTACCTTTAAGATTTATAATAAATAAATATTTTCATTGTTTCTAACGTTTCATTTTTTACTTTTAGGCACTAGTGCCTAAACAAGTGTCACTTTTAGATACTAGTGCCTAAAAGAATGTCATTTCGAATCAATTTCGAAACGCTTTCACAAAAAAGTTAATTTTATAAAAGATTATTTATAAATTTTGTCGTTACTATTGCTTTAAGCTAGGCTGGGCTTAAATGTGTTTACAGACCTAAAGAGACGAGAGCGAGACGAGCGCGAGACATGCCAAATTTGCTAAGCGTGGACGGGTCTTGCGAGTGTCTCGCAAGACGATCTACGGAGCCTCGTTGCTATCCGTCTTCTGTAGGTTTTTCGTTAAACACCCCGTGATAATCCGAAGATTGTTTTTACTTTTTCAAGAAAGATCTTTGATTTTTCTCGGTGGTATATTCTGAGAAATTTCTTCGAGTATCTTAAACCGTTGGACCATTCCCATTCCAGGTTCTGGATGGAGTCTTTCAGGTTTTTGAGTTCTGCTTTAGGATGGTTTCTATTTGGAAAGGTTTCGTGAAGGACATGAAGCAGTAGAATAGCGGTTCTGGGTTGCGTTATGAATCCCACATTAAGTTCCAGAAGAATGTTTGATGTAATTTCGTGGACCACAGCTAAGAGAATTCTAAAACATAATACATGGCACTCATATAAAATTCAACTTTTTCAAGTGAAGATGATAATAACCGGTCGTTTACAAATGTGAACTATATATCTTTTTAACGTTTACTTTTACACAACTTTCAGACGAATGATTTATAGCTTTGTTGGAGTTCGTGAACCGTCCTAGAACTCTGCAGCGCATGCGCAAATGAAATAATGTCTTCATATTTCCTTCTACGCATACGCATCACAGTTCTAGGACGGTTCAGAATCGGTATAGTTTGTCCAACGGCAAGATCTTTGACAGTGATATATGTGTCTGTCATTTTAATTTCAAATTAGTTTATTTTATTTTACAAAGAAATAAGTTGGTACAATTGGAATGCATAGCAGGAAATTGATATATTTAAAATTTGACTGACAAATTTCAAAATATTGTGAAAAAAACTGTATAAAACTGAAAAAATCTAATCGAGTTATTTTATTTAACAAAAAACGGTAGGTATGTGTTAATACAAAACAAACAGAACAAGACACCACATACCAAAAAAATATAAAAAAGAACTATTTCTTACTTTCAAGCTTCATGAAACTTCTCGCATTTATGATTGTATTTATCAATATAACTTATAATATGTGCAAATACAAATTTGTAATATTCCGCAAGAAAAAATAAAACAACATAAATAAAACAAACTATTTTGTTAATAATAACACTTACCAAATTTTATACCTTAAAGGTTGATTAATTAACTTTAATCATAATTTTTTCAAACCAGTACCTTTTGACATTATTTTTCTGCAGTACTAAAATCCATTATTTACCTATCGTATTATGTCGATATTTTACAGCTACTCCAGTTTTTAGTATGTGTTTAGTACGGTTCTTCTACCATATACGAGATGCACTTATCTACGACGAGATGGTATACGAACTTTATTGATGGTAATTTTATTGGTGTATAAGACTTTCTACCTGGGCAGCGAGTATTAACCATAAACTGTGCTCTGGGTCTGCAGTTAATTTTCACTCGATTTTTCCTCCACTTGACTTCAAAAGACACAAAACACACGTAATAACACGAATCAAAATGCATCATCTTCCAAAACGCAGGGCATAACGCAGGGTATTTGACAAGAGTTGACACAAAATTATAACCTCTAATTTGGCAAAACTTTGACAAACGTCAAAAATCTAAAGGCGAGTTCATACGCATCGGCGTCCGTTTGTCATTCATCGTTCCGTCAAACCAATAAAATTGAAATACGATCTGTCATTTTTGAAATAAACCAATAAAGCTGGTTAAAAACAACAAGAGACGGCGCATGACGGATTTATATTTAAACCCATCCACAGTTAACTTAAAAATTATTAGAAACTTTTTTTAGTAAAATCTATAGTAAAATAAATAGATTGGTATGGGACGTCATCTGCTTTTTTTCTGTCATCGTCTGTCGAAATCTTACCTGAGAAAAAAAACAGAGTATAATAAGAGAAACCCGAATTAAGCCTATGAATGACACTAGCTGTCAACCGAAGTAATTGTTGTTGTTTTTTTGATTCAACACGAATGCAGGGATCTTTCATTCTTAAAATTCTGAGATATTAAACTTTTGGAGTGGTATTTTTGGAGATCATATCTGTTAAATCAAACTTGTTTTGATGTCGTTTTATAAATACTAAGTTTCTGTTTATTTATGTGTTTTTTCTTCTATTTCAGACTGCCAACGGGGATCCGTTATACAGAAAAGTAGCTGTGGTGGAAAACTTCTTCGATATTATCTATAACGTGCATGTAGAACTGGAAGGGAAACCTGGGAAGCATGCCGGACAGAAAAGAACTTACAGGACAGTGAGTATTATATTTAACTTATTTAATTTTAGCTCTTTATAGGACAGTACTAATTATTTTTTAGTTTCATCAAAATTGACTGCAAAAATATATAAACTAGCACAAAGGGAGCATAATATCTTCTTAATAACATTTTTCAAAAAGTTAACAAATAAGAGAGTGAGGGGGTGGTGGTCGATTTTTCAACCAGAGACTGTTATAGCAAATAGATAATATGTAATGATCTAATGTATATAATGTATAAACTTTATGTATCCTCTAACAAGAAAAAAGAGTAAAGCTTCATTGGTTTCAATTACACTTTATACTTTTTAGTTTACGATCATTCACAATGTCTAAAAAACACAATTAATTAAAATTAATAAAATATCCTAGCAACAGCCTGCGGTAGTCTGTTGTATCCATAGAGAAAGCATAATATTTAGCTTATAAAACAATAAACTTTTGATTTTTAACCAAAAATTTTTCTTGACGGGTGATAATCAAAGGCCAAAATGACATTCCGCGCAAATTTTGAAGTATAATTAGTGGAAAAGTCAAAAGTTTGTTAACTTTTTCCACTGACTGAAAATTACTACCACTAATTATGACGTCCTGAATGCTTGCAATAAAATTAGGTGATCAAACTTCTACGGCTAATTGAAACTACTCATTTATTCCACTGATTTCGAGGTTCTGAATGAAGCTTAAGTTCATTTTGATTATCTCTGTTAGCTCTCTACTCAAAAATATGCCCACATCAAGTAAATTAAATTTTGTTTGTTGGAGGGAAACTCGCATCCTATGAGAAATGGTCGAAAATATTCAGGATATGTTAACGATTTTAGAAAATATCATCCGAGTAAGCACTACCATTGCACGCAGGCCGCTATCTCCTGTTCGGGACTTAATATCTAACCGACACTTTTCGACAAGTCGGAATTAACTATCTCTGCGCTGTGGTTGTCATTTTGTGGATCTGCCCAAGCTCACCTGATGATGGAGTAGGGCTCCGAAACCGGTAGTGAGAGCAGGTTGATCCACATTATGACAAACATAGCGTAGAATTAAATTTCTATATAAGCAGTTAAGTGGCAAGAATCCTTATATAATTTTATTATATACCTATACTGCAAGAAATTTGTTTTCTATTTTATAAGTTGGCTTGCCTGAAAAAAAAAGCCTTTTACCATCTTTTTACTATCGATAGTTGCGCCCCGGTGGTACGAAAGTACTACCATTGCACGCAGGCCGCTATCTCCCGTTCGGGACTTAATATCTAACCGAAACTTTTCGACAAGTCGGAATTAACTATCTTTGCGCTGTGGTTGTCATTTTGTGGATCTGCCCAAGCTCACCTAATGATCGAGTAGGGCTACGAAACCGGTAGTGAGAGCAGGTTGATCCACATTTTGACAAACATAGCGTAGAATTAAATTTCTATATAAGCAGTTAAGTGGCAAGAATCTTTATATAATTTTATTATATACCTATACTGCAAGAAATTTGTTTTCTATTTTGTTTTTATATTTTTAAATTTTTATCGTACGAAAATTTTTATCGTTGAAATTAGAAAATGGTTAGACGTCAATTATTACCTATAATATGACACACAGCGAACTCAATATCACCAAAATTTACTGGTCGAATAATCAACCACTTTTTCACATGTTTTTCGCGCCAATTCGGCCAATTTATTAGTTGGTTAAATTGAAGTGGTCGATTTAGCGTCCATCGACCTAAAGAGGGTTAAATATATTTAATTTAATATAAAAAAATTCTAAAGCCTGTCATTTTTCCATTTTTGACATATGACACAAATATATGTTTTTTTAAATGGAAACCATAGTTGGCCATGGCTTCATAAAAAGCGCCATTTTTTAAGCTTTTCAGCGATATAAGCTATAATATGCTTTTAGAGTTATAGCCAATTCTTATCTTTCTTGACTAATTTCACTTAGTGAGCCATGGAAACAAGTTCAATCGTCGTTGCTCTCAGAAATGTAAAACTCAAATCGTCACATCCAAATTTTGTAAATTAAAATAAACAAAAATTACAAAAATTTATTTTCAAAAGTTACTGAGTTATAGCCAATTCTTATCTTTCTTGACTAATTTCTCTTAGTTGGCATAGTGTTCTTATTTTGTTATGATTTATAACTTATAAAAAGACAAAATATATTATTGAACGGCTCTTTACAATTTACATTACACAAATAAAAACTTAAAAAAATAGTATCACTACATACACTTTCAGTTATTTTAGAAAAGTTTCAAAAAATCGGCCATAAGATATAAATAATTTATAACATTTCTATCATTGTGGGGGGGGGGACTCTATTAATGCGCGAGTATCTAAATTTAACTTTCCTAACATGTCTTGAAAACCCTTCTCTAAAAAGAACGTAAGTAACGTCCACCAGTCAACGTATCCTCGAAATTGTATGGACAAGAAAAGTTAAACCAATAATCCTATACGCTTTTCTTCATTTGAAAAATTCATATTTACAATTTTTGTTTATTTTAATTTACAAAGTTTGGATGTGACAGCTTCACATTTGTGAGAGCAACGACGATTGCACTTGTTTCCATGGCTAACTAAGTGAAATTAGTCAAGAAAGATAAAAATTGGCTGTAACTCAGTAAGTTTTGTGAAAAATGCATATTATAGCTTATATCGCTGAAAAGCTTAAAAAATGGCGCTTTTTATAAGGCCATGGCCAACTATAATGGCCAACTATGGTTTCCATTTAAAAAAACATATGTTTGTGTCATATGTCAAAAATGGCAGGCTTTAGAAAAAATTGGAGAACATAAACTCATTATGGATGTGATAATCTACAACTTTTATCTGAAAACTTTTTGTCTAAAATAGATTATAATGAAATTAGGAACAATTTTAAAAATAGCCAAAATTTGTTTTTTTCGAAATATCTAGTAAGCCATGAACTATTTTAAAAATCTGAAAGGCGCATATTTATGACTCCACAAAACTGCAATTCTTTTCCCATTTAACCGACTCTCTATCTTCAGTAGTTTCCGAGATACCCATAGAGAACATCGTAGGAAACTCACCCCGTATATCTGTTACAAAGCAACATTATATTAGTAATTATCAACAATGTTGTAATAATCATTAGAATTGTACATTTTAGTTATACTGATGGTGTTTTAATGATACCTATAGGTAATTTAATGAAATACCATATTATTATGGTATATTAACTATAATATAACGGCATTCTTTTTTCCAGATAACGGAAACTTACGCTTTTCTGCCCCGCGAAGCTGTTACCAGGTTCCTCCTCGGCTGCGTGGAATGCCAAAAGCGTCCTCGATCTGTCTCGCCCACGGTGGCCATTTTGCCCACGCCCAGCCCTAGTCCTACTTCACCCATCGTTATCCAGACACATACTCCCACATCCGATGGGTCATCTTGCGAGATGCCTATGGAGAATAGGCTCGAGCTGAGGGAGGAGGTGGAGAAGGTAGAAGAGAAAAAGGAAGTGAGGAATGGAGATGGAATGAGACAGCGTGGAATACCGAAAGTAAGTGTTTGTTTAATTTATCCCCTAGTCTGGTAGGGCATACACACATTCATGGTAGAACATGGTATCATACCCATGATATATATAGGGTGACAATTTGAAAACGAACAGTATTTAATATTACCTCTACCGATGATAGTATGAAAATTTGGCGAAATATACAATTTGGCGATAATTACATATCAAGGGGGACAATTTTTGAGGCATTTGTTGTCGTGTTACTTTTTACTTTCAACTTTTTGACCCCCAGGGCATCTACCCCTAAAATTTTAAATGGCAACCACTATTTCTTTTACCATTTTTGTGTTCCTTATAAAATTCTCAAAAAATAATGCAGTTTATGCAGAATTCTATAAGAAATACAAAAATAGGGGTTGCTATTTAAAATTTTGGGGGTAGGTGCCCTGGGGGTCAAGGGGTTGAAAGTAACACGACAACAAATGCCTCAAAATTTGTCCCCCTTGATATGTAAATTGACGTGTTTCACCAAATTTTCATACTATCATCTGTAGAGGCAATATTAAATACTGTTCGTTTTCAAATTGTCACCTTGTATATCTTTCCAAGTCTTCTAATTAGACTTGGAGAGATCAGACATCAACTAGTCTACATATATAAAATGCTAATGTTTATCTGTGTCGTCTCTACTGAAGTAACGACTTGCTCTAGAAAGTTGTTTTTTTAACAGATAGCTAATTGGCTCTTCTAAAAACTGTCGTCGCCGGATTTTTTGGTTTTTATTTAATTAAAAAAAAATAAACAGTTATAAAGTTAGTTCATTCTCACAAAGTGGTGGCCCATGGTAAAAACTTAATGTTAAAATGGAAAACACAGTCCAAACCACTATCAAAAAATTCTTTATTCGTGACCGGTTTCGGCAATTCCAGCCATCATCAGACCTTTTTCAAACCAGCTGTTCGTTTGACTTACATATATTTCTGGTTTGAAAAAGGTCTGATGATGGCTAGAATTGCCGAAACCGGTCACGAATAAAGAATTTTTTGATAGTGGTTTGGACTTTGTTTTCCATTTTAACATTAAGTTTTTAAAAAGTATTTTTTTTCCTGATGTCGCGTCGTGGCGGATGCGCCAGGCTTCAACTAGTATTTTAATAAAAATGTGTCATAAAAGAACACAGATAAATACTACACAATTTACTCTAGATGTATCATAGATCTCTCTCTTATAATGTATGGTGCATCGGAAGGCGGGACATAGGAAATCCCATGTAAATTATGAAAAGGTCTAATATTATCTCCCCAGATGATTTTATGTAAAAATTGTATTAGACTTTTTTGAAGAGGCGTTAAAGTTGTACTGTCGTCTAGAATTTCTTTTTATTTGGAATGCCTATTCCAAATAAAAATCTGCGAACTTATCGAAACGGGAACACTATTTCCAGCAAAATGCCGTTTAACCATCGTAACTTTTTCAGAAGTTGCGAAATTCATAATTATTTTATACGAAATAACTCTACTACCTTCAAATTTTTGTAAATAAAATGTCACATCGAATTTGACAATGACACAATCACGTTTTTGCTGGTATTTTAATTGCAGCGCTCTGGACCGTATTATAAATTTTACTAATTTGACGGTAGATTTTTGCAAATAACTTTTAAATGACTATTCCAAATGAAACGAAATTCTACAGAAAAGTACAACTTTAACGCCTTTCAAAAAAGTCTAATACAAATTTTGCATAAAATTATCTGGGGAGATATTTGACCTTTTTAAAATTAATATGGGATTTCCTATGTCGCGTGTTCCGATGAACCACACGGTATATGTTTAATATTGCTTTTTTTACAAAATTTATATTATTTTATTACAGTGCAGATCAAAGAAATCCCTTACCAAAGAACCCACCCCGAAACTCTGGTCACCGGTGAAATGCATTGAACAAGACAGAGACAAACTGGTCCATTTGCCTGGGAACATCGATTATTCCATGCCTATCACCACCACTTATCTCAAATATATGAAAAGTCTGGGCTGTAAAGAGGAGGAAGCGTTGAACTTTGACAGCAAGCACGTGAGTCTTGTCGTTAATCAGTTCCTCCGTGAGATTATTAACCATTATTATCATTGATTAGGTTGATTTTTGATTTAATTTTTTTTAAATTTATTACCTAGTTAGAGAATACTAAAATATTTGGTTGATTTTGAAGTAGATATATTATCAGGTTTCAGCTGGTGTTAATTTTATTATTATTATTGTAGACTTTCTGTACCTTATGTGAATTTTATTTCATTTAGTGGTGGCTGGTTTTGGTTCACCATAAAAAGTATGACTTTAATTCCTAATATACACTCACCGGCAAAAAAATCCGGCCACTAAAAACTAGTCCCAATTTCAAAGTTGGATTTCTTGCCCATCATTGATTAGATTTTGATGATTTTTTTTATTTGTAAATTAATTCCTTCTTAACGCACGCTACGTCAGAAATTTTTATTCCGAATTTATTTTGAGCATATACAGGTCACAACAATAAGACGAAGTTTTTTGCCAGAACTTTGGAGCACCCTGTAGGGTGCAGCAGCTCTAGTAGCTATTGCTAAATCAAATCAGATTATAGCCTCATCTTTTCTGACCATTTTATTTTTTTAATCACAACATTATCTCTGTTTGTATTGGAGATACGCTGCTTTAAAACAAACGCCTCGAAAAAAGCTTTAGTCCATTGCTCAATATCCCAATTCATATGTAACGCGCTAACTGGAGACGTGTTCGACGATGTCTTGGAAGTAGCTGGGATCCTGTGGCAGGCCTCTATCCTTGGAGACAAGCTGTTGTCTTTTAGTCTTCGACGGATTGTTCTCTCACTAACTTGAGTTCTACGCACGGCTTGTAGCATCAGATATTGATTCTGAAACGCTGTAATTCTACGATTTCGTAAAGTATTCAGGACAATAAAGCGGTCGTCAATTGCATTTGTCTTCCGTTTTCTTCCGGAACCCAATCGCCTGGTGAAATTTCCCGTTTCCATATTCCGATTCCAAGCACTGTTGTTCGAGATATACCCAGGGTATCGGACTCATTACATTGACTTCGGCCATCCTCAATTAAAGCCACAATACCAGCAACATCCGTCAAATAAATGGCATTTTTTAAGTTACAACCGTAGTTGTCATATTGCAAATACTCATAAATCCGTTTTCGCCTATGTCGCGTCGCCTTGATTACTTATACATAAAACTTTCTGCCTGCGAAGCATTTTTCCGAGACGTTCGTTTTAAAGCAGAGTATCTCCAATACAAACAAAGATAATGTAATTAAATAAACAAAATGCTCACAAAAGATGAGACTACAATGTGATTTGATTTAGCAATAGCTACTACAGCTGCTGCACCCTACAGGGTGTTACAAAGTTCGGGCAAAAACTTTGTCTTCTTGATGTGCCCTGTATATGCTCAAAATAAATTCGGAATAAAAATTTCTGACGTAGCATTCGTTAAGAAGGAATTAATTTACAATTAAAAAAAATCATCAAAATCTAATGATTGGTTCGCGAGAAATCCAACTTTGAAATTGGGACTAGTTTTTAGTGGCCGTTTTTTTTGCCGGTGAGTTTATTTTACATGACTTTTATGACGTACAATTGGGTCATAGGTATACATTTGAAATAGTTAAGGATTATAATTGATTATAACAATCTTCAGGATCGTACAGTCACAGTAATATAAATCATAACCAAATAAACTTTTATAAACATATTATACATAAAATATGATTAGTACTTGTAGAATTTAGAATTTACAAATTTAAAAAATAAACAATAAATGGGGTGTATTTAAAATGTCCATGTTTAATTTTTAATCATCGAAGGTACTGCACATATACTAAAGGTATTTTGACAAATAGATCAATGATAATAGATCCCCACGTTGGGCGCCAAAAATAAGAGCATAACGGTTTTTGTTATTATCAAACACTTTTATACGGCGGGTTGAACTGTTCGGAGAGTTGGGTTGTGGATTGCTTGTCATATTTTAATAAATAAAGGGAAGAACTCGGTAGGCTTCATAGCAGCAAACACATTTACCCCACACAAAATATCACTAGCCACCACTAAATTTGATTGTTATTAATTATAAACAAGTAGCTGAATACTAGATTAATTATTTAGTAACGAAAGACTGCCCTTCAGTAGTTTTTTTTATTTTGATTATTCAGTATATATGTTTTATCGTTGTCATTTATATTTTATTAGATTTATTTTCTATTTATTTTTATATTACTATTATTAGTCGTAGAACGTAGTCTAGATAAATTTTTATAGAGTAGTTTTATCAATGATAGATATGTTCATGTTTTGATATAATTATCTTCTTGAAAATAAAATTTATGATTTTATACTTTAATTAAACGTGCTTATTGATCATTTTTAAATGTTGTAACTAATATAAAGGCATACAATGCCGTTTTACCCGTTAAGTTATTTAACATTAAACCTACATAAACATATTCAGACTACTAAAACGTAATATTATATTTATATTACGTTATTAGTAGGCTAAATATTTTTTTTTCTAAAGCGTGTTTAGACAAGATTATGTTTATAATAATTAGTAAAAACTGCAATTGTGTATTATTATTGTTTATAATGCTATCTACTACACAGGGTCCGTCTTAAATAAAACTATTTTTAGGGGTAGTATATTTTGACCCCAGAAACACGATTATGATTGATTTTTTTTAAATTTCGAATTTTTTGAAAAAAAAATTGATTTTTTTTAGTTTTTAGTTAAAAAACATAATTTCTTCATATTATGGCAACATAGGTAATGGATTAAATTTACAAGAACAAAAAACAGAAAAAATCCAGTGGTTCTCAAAATTTAAATAACAAAAAATTTTTTTTGACATTTTCAAAATCAATAACTCGTTTATTTTGGACTTATTTGAAAAATGGTAAAGAGAAAATATGTTTCTTTTATCGAGATCTATCAGTCCTGAAAACAGTTGCACTTATTTAAGACTCACCCTGTATCAGAGTTAAGCGAAACGATTTTACAGATCTGACTAAAATAACTAATACGGGTCTGGAGATACAAAAGTTTTCAACTGATTATAATATTCTTAATTGTTTCATTATACTTTAAGCTGAATATTAGTAAATTAGAAAATTTTATTTAATTTATAATTAATCTATTTTATTCGTGCGACTTAAAGATTTAAAACACCAAGATAAAATTTCACAAAGACACAAACAGACGAAAGTCGAAGTAAGTATAACAACCAAGTTGAGATAAATAAAATTAATTAATAGAAGAGGTATCAGGGATTGGATGGACAAAAAATTTTGCAGATAATTTTCTGTTGGTAAAACTAAAGCAACATTTAATAAACGGAAGAAAATATATATTTCGAAGTTCTTTTAAGTTTAATATTAACTTCATTTCTCATTATACTTGTTTCATACTCTTCAATTTTAACAGATATTTGAATAATAATTTTTCAATTGTGTAGAACAATTCGAACAAAGCATAAATAGGTGAATAAAACAAATAAATATCTGTCTATACATATAGAAAAAAGAAGAATTTGATAAATAAAAAGTAACTAATCACTTCTTCATTAAACTTACCTTAACCATATTATGAAAAGTTTAAAAAAAGTAATAAAGTACCATTTATGTAGATAGATTTACTGAACAAAAACGCTAGTTAATAATTATAAAAAAGGTGGTAAGCTGGTAAGGTGGTAGTTAGTGGTGTCGGTTACATACACACTTAACCACTTTTCTTCAGACGTTTTTCCCAGGAAATTATAGGTCGCACCTGTGCAACTAACTTATCTCTGTCCACTAATCTCAACTAACACAGCCAGTGACAAAGCTTTTGGTACTTTTTCGCTACTAACACAGTAAGTATATTTGTAGTATATTGTCTTTATAGGTTAACAGGTAAAAATATATTTAGTCGAATTATTTTAAACACATTATTTATACATTGGTTTTATTACAAGTATGCGGTTTTCTTATCATCAATATGCTTACTATTTATGAAACTAAATATGGGACACACAGCTAGGGTAAAAATTGTCTATACCTATGTGGCGGATTCATCTCTCCAAAAAAATCCTTTATGGGTATTTCGCCACTGTACTGCAAGAAAATCTACAAAATAAAATAGTTATTTTTTGTAAACACTTCTGCGTTAAACCCATATACATATAACTAAAATATACTCAGCGTAATCTCCAAAAAGTGAAGCCCAAACAGTGAAAGAGAAATATGGAATTCTGCATAAGTCTATTTCACCCGGATATTCATTTAACTGCGCATGCCTTACCTGAAGAAATTTTCATTGGTCGGTGTTTTCAAAGAGAAGTGGTTGACTGACATTTCACCTAACCTTCAATTTTATTTATATTTTTATTATTTATAACACATTATCGTGGAGTTGGAAAAATATCAAAAAATAGTTGTAAACAATAAACTAAACAAAATCACTCTTTTACGGGCACAAATAAAAAGTAATCCAAATAGAACTAAAACAACAATCAATCGGAGTTTGGCGCAATCGCAGTTCAATCGATATCCGGGTGAAATAGACTTATGCAGCATTAATATGGAGCTGAGTTATGTTGTCTTTTTCTTACGGCACGAAAACAGCACACAGGGTTAAATAGGGAACACTGAGTATATTTTCGTTATATGTATATGGTTAAACCTAAACGGACACTGCTTGTCAGAAGTTATATTTAGGGCGGATTTACCCAATTCCTTAATTGCAATTCCTTAATTCTTATTTCTTATTCGCTAAATTATAAAAAAATAAAATACGTGTTATGCAGTTAGTTTGGTTATACAATGTCTTAATCCTTAATTCTTAACCACGGTTCGTAATTCTTTATTTTGAAAGTTCCCAACTTTTAACTTTTTAGCGATTACGAATTAGCGATTAAGGAAAACGTGTAGATGCGCATGCGTGAAATTTTGAAATGTTAATTTTTTGTGTATTTTGTGAACTGTTGTTCGTCCCATTCCAAGGAAGGCATGTCTTGTTTAGAGTTCCAAAATTGCCTTCCATGTCCTTTCTTCTCTTCATGGGGCGAACCCCAAATCGCCTACAACCTCGGTGGCGATTCACGAGAGTAGCGACACAACAAGCCCATATAAACAAACCCGAAAGTGCTGCAATTTTTTGTATGGACCTCATTGCACACAATAACACAGCGAAATAAAAACGATTTGATTTGATCTACTAGTGTCAGTTATAAGAATTAAGAAATAAGGATTAAGACATTGGATAACTGTCTCTAAAAAAATAAGGGATAAAGAATTGTGTATTAAGAATTACAAATTAGAGACTAAGAAATAAGAATTAAGGAATAG